TGTGCGTGCTTTATGTCAAAGGTAACCCTGGGTCAAAGGGTGATGTTTCTTGAACGATAATAGGATATTACGTATTCCTCACCGATTGCATCCCCCTGTTGTATCTGCACTAACGATAATGTCTGATGCTATGGTGAATGAGTATTGGGCCAATGGCCAGGTTGTTTGAAATGTTTTCCTCTAAGAAACTTAGATAATTCGATATGTTAAGCTCTTGCATCATCTCTCTTCCTCCTCGTCAAGTCCCATTGTGCAGGATGAACCAATATGGAAGCTGGGCAGTATTTCAAATGTGAAGTCTTTTATGTGCACATTGCACACCCTCATGTTGAACTGTGTTTTCCCTGGAAACAAATTTAGAAGATTAATGCTTCTCCTAGAATTTAATTTTTTGTTTTATATGAAGCTATAGAGGGCGTACTCTTTCCATTGACAAACTACAGAACAGGGGAAGATCCTAGTGAATAACCATTCATTTAAGAGAGCAGTTCAGACTCTAAATTATTTTTTGTTATGGTCCCCTTCCTTTTATCACCTTCAGTTTACATTTTTCATTTTCTCAACCAGAGTTGTGTTAAGGTTGGGTCCATTTTGGATGAGTTATGGGCTTGGTAAGTCCAAGGTGATAAGAGAAAAAGGAAGCTATTCTCTTATTCCCTTTGCTACTTTGTGGATTATTTGGAATGAGAAAAAAGTAAGGCTTTTCAGGATCTGCTTTTTACTTCTAGAGTATGAGACAGTTGGCTCCGTACTCTTTACTCTTTATTAAAGGCTTATCCTCTGTCTACTGATGAGATTCTGGAAGACCTAAAGATATATTGACAGAGCTAAAAATATCTTTTATAAACGGGCAGCCTGGTCTTGGCATGTAGTTTAGTTTATAGTATCTTACTTTTTTCCTTCAAAAATATGGGTTTTAAGAACTCCACAGCTCTTTAAATCAGTCAAAACAGTATAATACAGTACTCCTTAAGATGTAATGATGCTACCAAATAAGGCCATGACCTCAATAACCAAATATCGAATTTGAAATAAAATTTTCTTCCTGAACAATATGCCAATGAATATTTTGGAAATGGGTAGACACCTCTTTGGTGCTTATAATTAATGATATACACCATACTTTTATTTTTAAAAAAAATATATGCCAATAAATGATTCTTAACAAAAATCAGAAATAATCTTGGCACTAACTTATCTTATGGTGTCCTTTTGCCTTTTCGTTATGGTCCACCACCTCGGAGTTTCTTGGTCCGAAGTAGATAATAATGGGTTCTGTTGCTGAAGAAATTTGGGCTTGCAAGGCAATCAAGGTGATAAATGTAAGAAGAAACTATCTCTTATCCCCTAGGCTACCTTGTGGGTTAATTAAAATAAGAGGAATATAAGGAATTTCAAAGGCATTTCTCGCTTTAGAGTAGAGTTAGAGACTTGTGGTTTCAAACATTTCTCAAGGGTCATCCTTGTCATCCTCTTAATCTTGTTAAGAATTTAAGGGAACTTATTGATACTTTGAATCTATAAAATTTGTATAACTTGAATCCATAAAGTAGCCAAAGGGATAAGGCTCAAGTTCTTCTTAAAGTACTTATCTCCACAAATACCTCTCCAAGCCCAAAAGAACAAGAGCAAATTGCTAACAGAATTGGGTAGAAAAAAACAGAAAGAAATGGGCTCAAAAGAACTGAAAAGATTACAGTACTCCATCAATTACGATGAGCGAAACAAAAAGAATAAGGGAAGCGGAGGGGATTCAACTTCATCTTGATGATAGATAAAATACTCTCCTGAAATGTCAGGATTTTAAATGACAAATGAAAAAGAGTTGTCATCAGAGGCTATCTCAACATATGGAAACCGTCCATCATATGTCTTCAAGAAACAAAGATGAGCACAGTTAATGAAATGTTCATAAAAAGTCTATGGAGTATGAATGACATTGGCTGGAATTCTTCGCCAGCCAAGGGATCTACTGGTGGCATCCTAATCATGTGGAGAAAAGACCAAGTCCTCTACCATAATGTTACCCCAGGT